TGCGCAAACGGGTTGCGTACGATCGGACGCGCGACCCGATTATTACCGCGGGCGCATTATAAAATCTTTCTCGTGAGTCAGATTATCGTCTACGCGTTTCCCTCGTCGCGGTTTCTCCTCGATCGGCGTAATCCAAATAAAGAAAAAAAAAAGAAGAAAAAAGAAAAAAGAAAGAAACGGCGTTCAAAAGCGTTACGATTGATATTTTTCGGGAAATGTTATTGTTAAAGTCGTGAAGTCGTTCCAGCAGGCCCGGGCGAAAAACGCCGCGTCGCACGCAACGTCGTTTTGCGCTCGCACGAGCGAGCGGACGTCGGTTGACGTCGCGCACGAGACGAGACGACGACGCGCGGTTATAGCGAGCGAGGAAGAAGCGAGGAAGGAGCGAGGAAGGAACGGAGAGCCGCAGGCGAGTTGTATAATATGAACGCGCCGCGCCGGAGTTTCGGCAGGCTATAATCAATTCTGATTGCAGTCCAGCGGATCGCAGCGCGATCCACTGGCCGATAGCCGAGAAAAAAGTCAGCGCATCCAACTACCGGGCTGCACCGGTGGTATGGCCAAAGCGAGGAGGCAAGGGCGGACGAAGGGACAGAGATAAAGTAAGAATAAGAAGAGGAGATGTGCGCGAAAGAGACACGGGCCGGACGGCGTCGGAGGGGGTAAAAGGGAGAGCTGAAGGGGGGAACGGCGATATACACCGACAGGGGGACAGGGAGAGAACGAGGGTTCGGTGGGTGGTTGGAGGAGAAAAAACACGGGTAGAAACGGGTTTCGATACGCCACGCGGGCTCGGGGGTGCGAATTAGTTTGCGTCGCGATCGCAAACTGCGAGCGTTCGCCTACGATTCGGATGCGAGGAAGCGAGGCGTAGGTAAAAATGCATTCGAATTATTTATCGATGGATCCACGGCTGCCACGAGAGTCGTTTTCGAGGCAAACATCGGTGGCACTCGGAAAATATTAGCCTTCGTTTTTGCCGCGTTCTGGATTTTCTCTAGCGTAGAACGTGCGACCGGGAGGGAGCTTCGTGATGTCACGCGCGGAACGCACAGAAGCCGCAGATTATCTCGTACGGGCGCACGGAGAACTTGCGAGAACAACGATATCGCACTCGAATTAAGTGCTCTAGAGAGCTCACATGCGTAAGGGCTCGGTAAGGGCAAAGACCTCGCGCTAAACTATGCACGCCTCTGGCCTCGGATCCAATCAGAGTTAGGGACAGAGCCTCGTCCCGCCGTGGCTCGAGATATTTAAACTTCCGTGGAGGTTTTTTCGCATAAAAGATGAAATAACAAGCGTGTCGTACCAGTCCAGCATTACCAGCCCGTCGAGAGTCATTGCCCGGGTCTATCAAAAATACGCTCGGCAAGGACGGCGTCCCGCGTGCCTCGCCGTCCCGAATTATAAATTCCGAAAAGATGCGCGCGATAGGATTGTTGCCGGCGAAAAGAGGAAGGAAAAAAGAAAAAAAGAAGAACGAGGCGGCCATCGGTCCATCGGTGGCGGATATGTAATGTGCGAGTAACTCCAGCAACAACCTTGACTCGCCGCAAGCCATACTCGCGCGCTTCTTATAATCCCTTGTGTTCGCGCGCGTCCGGCCCCATTAGTAGTTGGCTGACCCATCATTCAATAACGCTCTCAATGTCTGTGCGACCGTGTCTCCGTGTCTTCGGACACACACGTATGCGCGACACGGCGATAATTAGACCGAATTTCCGCGCACGGAACGAACGCGAAAAGCGCAAAGTCCCGCGTGTCACGTAAATTCTTTAATTCGTCTCGCAGCGTTGTGTTATATCTTCATATATCTTATCTTGGCACCTCTTAAATTTATATTTAAAAAACAACTAACTATATATATATATATTATTTTTTTTTATTATTTTAACGAGACTGTGTGTCTTTTTTTTTATTCTCTTTCTTTTTATCTTCACTTCTTCACATATGACAAGCATAATTTCGATACAAACTTACATTGTACAGATAACCGCGCATGAATAAACGTTAGTGTATCTGGGGAGCCTGCTAGTCTTAAGACGAGTGTCACTGAGACGTTGCATATATAATATTGCGTTTTGAATATACGATTTGACTCATGTGTTATGTCTACGAATGAATAATTAGTGCTCGAATTATACGCATCGAGTCGCGGTATTAATATTATCATCTATAGAAAATACACCCGGTTTGCAACAATAGATTCTTTGTTGTAATACATGTACCTGACAATTCCTTTCACGAATAACAATACTTTGTTGATTTTGTAATACTTTATTAATTTTTAGTCGAGATGTCGGGAATAACGTCCGGGTGATCCAAAAACTGGCAAGACGACTGTCTAAAATTAATGGGCAGCATTGACTAAGAGACGCTTCGGCTTCTTGCCGAAAAAGGCTCGAAGAATACAGTAGCTTTCAAAGAATCAATGCAAATATCGCGGTCTTTTGTGCCAAGCGATTCGGAACGGCCGCTAACGCTCGGCTTGACAGGCAAACGTTACTTTCTCATTCATATCGACGCGAATCGGTGTCAAATGCCCCACGACTTTTCGTGAAATTATCATCTCTGTGGTGCGACTACCGTTTTACCGACATTCCTCGACGGACGAACAAACGCGAGGTGAAAAGATGATTTCTACGGGCAACAAACGCGCGAAGCTGTCGAATATTCACCATGAAATATTCACCATAAAATGAAAAATTTTCTTTCTCTCTCTTAAAAATTCGCTCGTATTTTTTCGATTTTCTTGCAGTACAAAAACAATGATTTACCATTGATTGATTTCACTCGCGTGTAACGTGAATCGCTCGTGTGACATAATCGATCATCGAATCACAATTAGAACAATCGACTATCAGTTTCGCAGCGGATAGAAGAGAATAAAATAGTACAGTTAAAATCATAGCGATCAAAACACTGGTACTTCCCGAGTGACGTCGTATCGAGACGACGATATGTCAATGTCATTCGCGCTGTCACTGTGTTATATACCAGGTGTCCAGAAAGAAAGAATCCGAAACCGAGAGAGAGAGAGGTACAAAGATTCCTTTTATACAAATAAGTTTCCTTTTAATATAAATCGTAAAATAGCTAATTATTTTCATTTGAATGTTACATTTATCATTGTTTAAGGAAAGATGCCGCGCATAAGGAATCACAAAGAGGAAAAATGCGCGACGTCCATCGAAATATTTTCCAAAGTGACGAAGGAAGGTTTTTTTTCTTTCTCTTTTTCTCGAGGCAAGAAATGATTTAATTCGAGCTCGAATTTTCTTTTCGGATTTCGGGACACCCTTTAGTGATTTTCCTCGTTACGATGACCGGCGTGATTATACGTTTTATAAATACGAGAACGACAGACGTTCCTACTAGTTGCTCCGACATCGAAAGCACGACGGGCAGGATAATTGATAGCGGAATGCTAATAACTCGTACGAGGCAGGCATTATAATAAGTTTTTTGCCGGTCGTGTGCCCGGCGTCTAGCGTGCTCTCGCTCTCCCCGCGATGCACCGCGGGTGTTCTTTCCGGTACTTATTAGCACGTAATTTGCTTACTTCGGTCTCGGCGTTGATACGACTGGCTATCGCGTTGACACATCGCATTTGCAGGAGCTTTTATTTGTCCTTTCCAGACTAGAGATACGTATCTCCGTTTTCGTAACGAAGGAACAAAGCTCCGCTTCCCACTACGCATATGCACATGCGCTTTACGCACGAAATTAATAACAAGTTTCTTTACGTACGAAATTAATATAATAATATAATAATAATAATATAATAATAATAATAATAATAAACAGTATTTCAACATTCGTATTGTAAGGATGTAAAGTAAACTCGTCTCTCGCGCAAGATCAGTTATCGTCGCTATCAATGCGCGCGACTCCGACTGATTTGACATCGTGTTCGATTTCTCACGTAGAGATAACCCGAAGAAAAAAATCTGTGTTTATATAAATGCGCGTAATTGAAAAAGCAGACGCGAATTGAACCAGAGACGTATATGTGTGCCTCGCATTTTCTCCAGGCAGATTAGTAGTTACGGAATGAAAAAAATCTTAATACAATTTGCCAGGGTATTAAGCACACGAGGAGTATAATTACAAGAACTGTTGCTTTCCTCCAAGCGATTATACATCGCGGCATACGGGCATATGGAGTGTTAATAATTACGGTAGACGATGGAGAGCGTATGTGTGTTCGCGCTGAGAAAAGAACGATACCGCCGTGTTTTAAAATAAAGGCTTCGGTATCGCTAATACCAATTTCAGTTTACATTTACGTTTGTAATGTATTACGCGTATATCTCTCCTTTCTTTACGCAAAGTCCGAGATATATTTTTTTCGCAAGATTATTTATTTGAGGAAACCACCTTTCGATTTTGCCACCTTTGATTTCGAATTTTTAACCGGCGAGCGCGGACTCGCCCGCGAATGTCAATCGCGTCGGGATATTAAGAATACTCGTAGATTAAAAAATATCTAGTACCTTTCCAAGTATTTGCTTGAAATGGGTAAATATGGGAGTACTTCCCCAGTGAGGAAATATTTACTAGGCAAACAATCGAGGCCAAGACAAGCGACCTCTCCACTTTGCCGGTGCATCTAGACTGGGCGACGGTAGATGCGACGGCGTTAGGCTTTACGGAAATATAGTTTATTTATGTCGTTCCTTCTAGTCTTCTCCGCAAAGACTACTCTCAGCTCGTAAAAGAGACGCGACGCAAAGTCGTATATGACTCGAGAGAATTAACTCGCTTCTTCGATTAGATTTCAATTAGGGCTACAGAAGTAGTTCACAAATTCGAATATGTATTCAGCGAGGAGAGCGAGCCGAACGTTATAAATTTTATGAAATATTCATAAGAAACAGGCACGTTCTATTTTTCCGAATTGCATCGAAATCTTCAGCGGTAGAGAAATTAAGGGGGACACACATTCGCTCTTTGCGTGGCGAAAGAAAGGGCGCGTGAAGGGCGCGCGTTATACCAACCTGGTAGGAAAATAGGGAAATCCCTGATGGACGTGTAGGTCCATGGGCATCGCGGGATGAGCGGACCCGTGATGCGCCGCGGCTGGCACGTACTCACCACCCGCTGACATGGGGGGCTGCATCATACCCGCGGCGGCGGCCGCGTGGTGACCCGCGAACATGGCCCCCCAATCGGAAACCAGGTGCGCCCGGCATCGTCGACGGATGCTCCAATTCGAGGGCACGGTGACTTCCGCCGGCACCACCGACGACTACCCACCCCCCGGCTCGCGCCTCCGGCACTTCCGCCTCCGCGTGCATCCGCCACCCTTCCACC